ACTTGGTTTGAATATTTTCAGCTTGGAAATCATTCATGTTTTGGTTTATATTACAACTGTTTAAGGTTATCACATCCAAACATAACCAACCATAGATTTGCACTAATGATTTCTTTCCTGTTAGATATTAACCTTTACAATAAAAGTAATCTTCATGTTGTTTTTAAAGAGTCAGGAGAACTCTGTTTTAAAATTCAAGTATTTTCTTGTTCGTAATAGCCTTGTTGTTAACATGTATAACGCAAGCAGTTTATTTTTTGACAAAAAAAATTATACAGTGAGACTTAAGTCAAAATGTCTGAGATGAAAATAAATAACTAGAGCTCTTACAAATAAGCAGTGTTTACTCAGAGTGTTTAAAAGAACACTGAAGGGTGGATGGCTTCCAAATATTGTACTTAGAGGAATAAAATATAACTCATTAGTTTGGTTTAGTAGAAGTTAAATTATAAACCTCATTTTTTCCATTTTTGGCTCAATGGTTATAATGCCATTAAGCAAGTTAGTTTAAGTTACTCACCTTTAATAACAGCTTTTATTTCTGTTATGACAGTTTCCCAGGAATGAAATGGAATTTCTTTCTAAAGAAGAGTTAAGAAGAAAGATGGTAGGAAAGAGTTTAGCTCTCATTAAGCAAAGTTTCCATGAATTGCCTGCAGCTTTGTTTGAATTGACTGAGTTGGAGGAACTTGACCTGTCAGAGAATAAACTTACAACAATACCTGAAAGTATCGGAAAACTAAAGAATCTTACGAAACTTGATGTGAGTCTAAACGAGCTGTCCATATTCCCTACAAGTTTGACTCAACTAAAAGAACTCAGAGTGCTGAACATCATAGATCACAATCTAACCACCATCCCTGATGCTATTGGGGAGATGGTGGAGCTGAAGGGACTGGGGCTGAGTTACAACCAGTTGACTGTGTTGAGTCCAGCTATAAAACAGCTGAAGAAACTCAAACTGCTGGACATCTCACGTAACAATCTAACCAGCATCCCTGATGCTATTGGGGAGATGGTGGAGCTGGAGGTTCTGTGGCTGAATTACAACCAGTTGACTGTGTTGAGTCCAGCTATAAAACAGCTGAAGAAACTAATATATTTGGATGTGAGAGGGAATCCTTTTACAGTTGAAGGATTGAGAAGTGTTATGGAGCTAAACGATAAAATTCACAGAGTAGATTCAGATGTCCCAGGTGAGTAAAGGAAATTCCTCTTCACATTAATGTTGTGACATGTCCATTATTTACTAAATTGGTTCTAATGGTTGACTTGCAAGTGGTTATGCTGCTTGTTACTGATAATTACAGGCAGCTGACAATAGTTTCATAGTGAATCCTGAGTAGAATAATGAAGTAAATGCTGTCACAGTTATACTGTATGATCGAACAAAGGTTGCATCACTTTAGAAATACATGACATTTGTACTGGAAGTTTTAGTTTTATACCAAAAGCAATGATGATGGTTTCAATATTCTGATTTTCAGAATATTGTATATCAAGGAGAAATTACTTGTTGATCACTTGTGGGAGTGGAGCAGTTAAAAATGATGTGATGAAGATAAATTTGTAATGTCCCATTAAATGTGGGTTGAGTTTGTTGTTGGTTCTCGTCCTTGCAGCGAGGGTTTTTCTCTGGATCCTCCAGTTTTCCTCCCTTCGCAAAAAAACAACATTCCAAATTCCAATTCGATCTGGAAAAAGTGGACAAGAAGAGCCACCCAGCAGAATGTCCATCGCTAAATTATTTATTTATGTCCAGTGTTAGAACACACGTTTACACGCATTTGGATTTGATTAGAAGATTACTGAATAAAGGTGTTTGGATACAGAAATCCTAATCACCTGGTTTTTCAGGTACAGTTCGTGGAGATTTAGCATTCTTGAAAAATTTTAAAAATTTATAAACTAACACGAAAAATTGAGAATGAAAGCATTGAAGATATGGGTTGAAGTCTCAATCTTTTTTATCAAGCTGCAACAAGTACTTCATTGAGGGAGCAATTATTTGCAAGGTTTCTATGACTCCTCTTGCTATTCTTTTTACTTGTGGAATTCATCTCTTTACCAAAATTTCTTTTAATTTCTTTTGTTTAATTTTGTTTTCATTTGTTTGCTAACTAAAGTAAAAATAAGGTCCACTGATCTCATAACCCTTGCTTTGAAATAGGTTAATAGGTATGCTACTTAATTGATTTTGGCCAAAATTCCAAGGAACATACTCCAAGATAAATTCCACATTTATTCATTTTACACTTCCTAAGACATATTTCTATTGGATTGAGATTTAAAAATGATTTTTGTTATTCAGTTTTAAAAGAGGGTGTTGAAAATTATTTGATCTGAGACCAATAAGAAAAGTTTTATGAGGTGTCATGTTTACGGATACGAACTCTAATATTTTTTACTTATGTAACTCTTCCGTTTTTAGCACAAAGACACTAAGAAACTCTCAATGACTTACTATTAAATTTGTTAGCGCGATTTGTTCGATTTCTATTCCGTGACTAGCGAATATCCGCTCGATATACCATGCCAACGTAACTTCATCCGTAACTAAAATAATTCGTAACAAAGAAATCAAAATAATTCGTAGCAAAGAAATCAAATTCGATCAAATTCGACTTAGGGTAAATGAATCGTTTGAGTATCCTTAAAAGTCAGTCTGGTGAATGAGTCAAGTTCAGTCAATCGTTTGA